GAAACACCAAACAAACAAGAATGCATAGTCATAATTTTTGCAGAAATCAGCACAGAGAAATAATGCTGAGCAGACCAGCATCACTTGAAATTACATAACAAATATATAAAATAGTATAATATGCGCATAGTTAACTGAAGATAGGCATGCGATTAATTAGTGTATCAGATCCCTAAAGCGTATGAGAGCATACATCTATCCGAAGTAATGACCATAATAATTCTTTAACTTGAGACATATTCAGACAAGACAACAGAACTGAACAAAGGTTTGGACAGGGTTCCAAGCACGGCAAACACAAAATTATTGCATGCACTAAGAAATCATTCGGCTGGGTTAGGCTTTGACAACTTAATTTTTGCAGAAATCAGCAGCCACTACTAGTAATGAACATAACACATCAATCAGAACTGAACTACACTACTACTAACGAACACAGAGCACTATCTCAGGAAATGTCTCCTAGAAAAAGCTTACTAACACCTGACCAAGGTGTGTTTTTTTAAAAAAAGAACAGCAGTGTGCTCTCCTGCAATCCGACTTGTATTGGACATACGTTGATACATTTATTCTGTAAAAGTGCACACGAAATTAACACCTGACCACTTGTGGGTTAGCTAAGCCTTATGTATCAAGTGATTATTGGCACTTGACAAAGACAGTGATGCTACTGGTGATTGGTGACATTCAGGCTTTGGTTACACTATCAGTCTAAAAATACAACTCTGAACATAAGATTTAGAACTCAACCAAATAATATGCACACCCTATACTACACTGCATGTAATCCATGATGGAATCAGAAATTCTAGAATAGTCTAGAAGAGAATAGCGTGCAATCCGAAGTACTGTAGGAGCAGGCAAGTCCAAGAAGCAAGAACGGGAACAGGAACAGAGCCGGGCACTCACCTCTCCTTTCCCCTTCTCCCTCGTTGCTCCTGCTGCGCCTTGTCGGTCGTCCCCAACTGCTCCTCCAATTCTTTGACGGGAGTGCAGAGAAATGAAGACCAACAGATCTAACAAGAAATAATACTTTGCAGTTGTAGATCCACTTCTCCCACGACAGATCTAACAAGAAACAACGGAGCCAAGATTGGGAAAGACAGAGGGGAAAGGGACATGGAGACTCACCACGACGACGGACGGCAGGACAATTGGCGAAGACATGGCCCTGGAGAGTGACGACGTGCTCTAGGACGATGGTACCTGGGCGTTCTTGGCGAGACAGAACGGGGGCGGCCGCTGTAGATCCACTTCTCCCTGTAGATCTCCCGCTTCTTGGAGGGCTCGCGCTTCTTCGAACGAATCTAAAGCGGCCTGGTGACGCAGGGAGCAGCAAAAGACAGATCAAACCCTAGCCGCCATGGATTCCTTCTACCGAAGAAGGAGTGAAAGCCTGACGGGCGAGAAGAAAGCAAACGAGTCAGGAAAATAAATCGACGAGTGTCTCAACGGGGAAGGACCTACAAGGCGGACGAGGAGCTCGAGCCCTAGCCGCCATGACTTACCTTGCGAGAGGATGGAGTGCGCGGCAGCGCTGCTTCCCGGTGGATGGATGGAGTGTGTGGCGCTGCTGGCACGAAGCGAGTCGCGGGATGGTGGGAGATGGGGATGCGCGGCGCACGCGACTGGGAATGGCGGCGCTCAAACCCTAGCCGCCATGTCTTGCTTTGCGCAGCCGCACGAGTCAATGTGCGAGAGGCGACGGGAGGCAGAAACACGACTCGGGAGATGATTTTTTATTCCCCGCGGATCGACGGGGAATGGGCTGACAAGGCACGGGTCTTTCTCAGCGCAAGGGGTGTCCAAACGGCAACGCGGAATGGAGGTGGGTGCCGCTCCCACGGGCCTCGCGCTACCCGTGGATGAGGCGGGGATACCGGCGGTATCGAGGCATCCAAAGGAGCCCTAAATGATAAATATGTTCCCTGCCGTTCTAAAAAAAAGCTATGGGCTGGTGGCATCTGTAATCTTAGAGCAACCAAGCCACTGTAAACTTGAATATATCTCCATTATCAGAGCCATCTCATCTCATGAATATATCTCCATTAGAGAGCCAACTCCAACGAACTATGTTTCGTTCTATATACTCCAACGACTTGCCATAATTTTTCTCGTATGAAAAATCATGATTACAACTATCATATATTAAATTTAGAGACCATATAGCCTCCCCGTTAGTGGAGGGCGAGAATGGTGGTTTTAGAGAGCGAAAAGGATGAAGAGTTGTTTAGAAAGTCTATTGGAGTTTGATTTTTTTGTTTCCTAAGTTTTATGATAAAAACCCATGAAGGGAGAATCTTGGGATGCTTTTACCAGATATTCCTATGGCATCAAATCACTAATCTTTCCTATAAAGTGTAATAACTGATCTTACTAGAGGGTACTTTTAAATCAACTATTCATGCATCCCTTAAAATTGCTGCCTCTTCATGGGTCCATGGGTTCATGGACTAGTCTAGATATTATGAATATATTATGATTCGTACCTTAGCTCTCATATGGTTTTTAGGTACATGGTGATACATACTCTATGCGATAATTTTGAATTTTACTCTATAAAAATCAGTACAAAAATATTTTTCCATACATACTTGTATCAAATATTAGTTAAGCTATATTTTATATATTTTTTTTTGTTGACTAAGCTAAATTTGAAAAGGGAAAACTCCATTAACTACACTAAATTTCATTATGAAAAACATTTGTTCAAACACATTACTCCAAATATATTGCGCCACATGCTTTTTTCAGTGCCACTATAATTTCTACTATACTAATTAAATCAACTATACATTACATTTATCTAAAAACCCAACACGCCAACTTTCATGACGAATTGGCGACCCATAGAAAAGAGAAGAGAGCTCGCCACGAGTTTGGTCGACCAACACCGCACGGTATTCGACCAACGCACACATGGGGCCCACGATGATGGCATGACCCGCTGTTGCTGTAGCGACGACACTGTGATTACAACGGTGCGATATATTTTGAAACAAGTCCACCGTCATATGTATTGCCACCTGGCTGCTGCAAAGCTGACGTGGCATGCCTTATAGACAAGCGCCTGGCCTGCTCTTGAGTCTTGTCACCTCCAACGAGGACTACTGCGTCTGGCATCGGAGTGGCTCGCACGGGGAGCAGGGCTGCCGGGCACACGCCGGCACGAGGCGTCCCCGTTCCTCCACGCTCGCCGAGCGTGTCGACACCCTCACGCGACGTGATGAACGCGCACCGTCACCGATGTGATGATGCAGGATTAGACTAATCAGTAATCACAGCGCTTCGTTTTAAATTAAAAATTGGCAGATTAAGATAAGCCCTAGCTAGCAAGCTAGGCTAGATCCCCCTGGTGGCTTGTCTAGCTCCGTGCATGATTCTACTATACTCCCTCCGTCCCGTTAAGATTGTCGCTCGGGAAGCGGGATTGTGAGGGGGGCACGGTTTTCCAACGACAAACTCAATGGGACGGAGGGAGTAGGCTACTAGCTACCTGTGGCCGGGAAATATAGGAGTATTACTACACTAATCTTGATTAGTGCACTAATACAATTGGCTAATGCCACTGGGTTATACGGAGTAGTATATTAGGCAATAAACAATTAAGATAGTTACAGTATAGCACTGACCTGAACCTAACCTGCATGCGTCACACATTTGTCATAACCATACGCTGAGCAAGGATGCATGGATTAACCTGCAGTTTTTTGACAAATGTTCCGTTCCAAAGGAGATGCCATTCTCACTTCTCAAAGAGTTAGTGAGTCTCAACTTTTACTAAACAGATACAAAATCTCTAAAAATTCTAATAATAATTATAATATACGTAATAAGGGCAGCTAAAAAAGCTAGCTCATAGCATATTTTATTCAGAGAAAGATAGAGAAAAATAAAAAACAATTATTCCATCTGTCCTTGAATAAATCAATTTTTAGGGTTGTCTTAAGTCAAACATTTTAATGTTGTTTGACCAAATTTAAAGAAAGAAGTATAAATATTTGTGACACCGAATGAGCATATTATAAAAAATGTTTATGATGTATCTAAATGATAATAATTTGGTATCATAAATCCTGGCACCCTTTTATATAAATTCAGTCAAACTTTAAAAAAGTTTGACTTAAAACTACTCTTAGAATTGATTTATTGATGGATGGAGGGAGTAGCTAATTTTTCATGAAGAGTTAAGCTCGCAAACTTGTCAATGCTTTCATGATCTTCTATACTAAGCTAGTATATATGTCTGACTACTTTTTTTTTTTTTTTCAAACTTCATATGAGTTAGCGGTTTAAAAGGACCATTGGAGACACCCTAAGTACAATCATTAAATGAATAATAAAACATATTTTGTTATATAAATGTTTTATATTATTTTCCATAAACTTAGTGAAACTTATAACAAGTCAACACTTCAAACCTAGAATTACATGTTTTTTTTAACACAGCGAGTATGTCTCTAGCCTTGATTATATTATTGTTGTTGCTTTATACTGAAATTGATCGCCGACCAACTAGACTATCCTGTCGTATAACTTTTGTCGTAAAAGCTAGGTACTTTTTACTGCATGCGACAATGTACATAGTTCACCGAATGGAATATCTTATTCCATCCCCGGGTTGTATATATATAACTGAAAATTGTTTCTCCTCGTGAAGCCATGCATATAGGTGTGTGACAAAGTGACGACACCTACCCGATCCACCATCTCAAGCCTACTATATAAATAGGGAAGTCACCTCTTTGAAGCTGCCTAAAGCTAAGCTACTCGATCAAACCCTCCTCCACCACCACAGATCTATAGTTAACAAACATTGCCTCCTGGTAATCTATCACATTAAAATTCTCTCATGTTAACATCCCCTCTCTACTGCAACCTTCTCTCATCTCTCTTCTTGGTTCTCAAAGAATAATGTCAGCGTAGCCTCATAGGCATTCCTAGCTCTTTCATCATCCCTCCTGAGATCTCACCAAGAACACACAGAAGCTATAGCTAGCATGGACCACCAGCTGTTCGACGACCCCTTCGGGAGCAGCGGCATCTCGTCGCTGGAGGCGGACATCTTCTCCGCCGGCGGCGCCGGTCAGCTGCCGTCGCCGTCGCCGCCGTGGCCGGACCTCGACCTCGATGACGACTACGACATCCACGACCTCTCCGCGCCGGCCGCCAACGCCGCCACCTCCTCGGGCGGCGGCTACGGCTCCGGTCGCTCCGGCAGCCACAGGAAGCTCAGCCACAACGCGTACGAGCGCGACCGCCGGAAGCAGCTCAACGAACTCTACTCCTCGCTCCACTCCCTCCTCCCGGATGCTGACCACACTGTACGTCGTCCTAGCTATCTCCTGTGGAAGCATGCGAATTAATCGATGGATCAATCGATCGATCTTGACGACGACGATGCATGTCTTGCTGTGCTGCGCAGAAGAAGCTGAGCATCCCCACCACCGTGTCCCGAGTTCTCAAGTACATCCCGGAGCTGCAGAAGCAGGTGGACAACCTGGAGAGGAGGAAGAAGGAGCTGACCAACGCCAACTGCAAGCCGGGAGTTTTGAACAACAAAGAGATCGTAACTCCCATTGTTTCTGCTACTTGCCTTAACGACACGGAGATCATGGTTCAGGTCAGCCTGCACAGCAATGTGGCCGCCACAGCTCTCCCTCTCTCCAAGTGCATAAAGGTGCTGGAGAACGAAGGCCTTCACCTCGTCAGCTCATCAACCTACTCCACCTTCGAGAACAAGACATTCTATAGCCTCCACCTTCAGGTGCATGACATCTTCGACCTCTCTTGAGTCTTGATGCATGTTCAATGTTCCTGCCCTTTCGATGTTGACCTGACTTTTTTTTTCACTCTGTCCAATTAATTAGTATACTTGGATTGATTGATACAATCTAACACTTGTCATAATACGATAATTTATTTCATCTAGCTAGGCTCATCTAAATTTAGTGGAGTATTAATTTTTCTCCTTGCCCGGCCCTAAGTTAACAAGATATTGAATCAAAAAGCCTTTTGAAAGATAAAGCTCTTTATATATGGTTAAGACCAGGCTCACATGAACCACTAGATCTTGTTTCAAAAAGGAATTATAAAATATAAGAGCCACTAGCTAAGTCGATCTTGTTTCAAAAGCAAAAAAATATGGGGCCACTCACTCTTGTGGTCGATACCATTTAACTGATATAGAATTGGGAGATAGCTTAGGGCCTGTCTGACATGGCTTATTGTGGCTTCAAATTCTCCCGCACCAGTTTATAGGAGCTCCTTTTCTCTCATCACGAGATATGCTATGGGCTTCACCGGCATCGGTTCCTAGTAGGATCTAGACTAATGGAGTCGAAGCCCTAAGGGCGTCCCCAACAAGACTTTCCTAGCTAGCTATTTGATTATGTGGAGAAGAGAGAACACACAAAAACCTAGTCGCTAGCGCTTTGTTCGTCGCTCAGCTCCCTAGAAATCTACTGCCATGCATGACCCACTTTCCTTGGCTGGCAGCTTTTTCTATTTTTTGTTCCACCTAGCCGGCGATTTAGTCCTGCTCATTGAGGACGCCCTAAGGAGCCTGCCAAACGAGCCCTGAAACTAGTAGGTCATTTGTGGATTGAGATTCCTTGGCTAGGCACACATAAAACCGGACACATACATAACGATGTTACTATTACTAATTAGAGGCTTCTTTTAGAGCATCCACATTAATCAACTACTAGACATGCTGGAAGAAAAATAAATACTATAAATTTTCATAAAAAATGGTCCAGTAGATTATAATAATCATTAATGACAATAACAACCATTAGAGAGATTTAATTTACATATAAGTTATTCACATCTACCATTACAAAATTAAAACATAATAAGGTAGCCTCTAAATAATCATCTAAATTACCCACCTTCACCCTTGTAAAAATATAAGCTAAACTAACCCCTCCCCTAAATTTGCATCTAAGTTAACCACATCTACTATATATTATGTAAGGTAATATAAAGCAAACCCTAAATTTATCTCAAAATTACCAATTTCCATCATTTTGATGAAATGCACATATAAATTTCTCATTAATAAACATGGCCTACTAGGGAGACCAAGTATGCATGCATGAGTGATAAGAATAATTTTCATGTTTTAGTAATAATAAAAAGCTCTTTCTTATGAATCCGTATTATTTCATTGTACTAACAATTTTAATCTATGACACAGAATCCATATGTTAAAAAAATACAAAAAAGAGAGCTTTGAATAAAATGAAGATCCATATGCACAATAATAGGCACTTGATTTTCTAAAAAAAAACTAGCAACAACTAATAAGATCAAAATCGGGAAGGTAACAAAAGCAAGATTCATGAAGTTTTGAATCATGCCACATGAAATGCAAGAAAATCTGACAAAGCTAAAGTTTAAACTAAACATATATTGAAGACACACGTATATATGATACAAAAGGGAAAATTAGAATAATATGGATGGAAGAACATATAAGAGTACTTGTTAATAAAAGTTTATGTTAGTAAAATAGATATGACATAATAACCCTGTGAGAAAACAAACACACACACAAAGAGAGAGAGAGAGAGAGAGAGAGAGAGAGAGAGAGCAAAGAGAAGAGCTTTTGATTAATTCGGCTTCTATTTCATCCACAAATTCTATGCAAGATTCACATGTTGATATAGTAGTGTAAATACACGATTTTTTATATATGGTGATTTATTCTAGAACAAGAACTACTACAATTTAAGTCTAGTTAGAGCTGTTTAGAAAAAAAAAGTTGTAACCCGATAAACTAAGTGCCAGAGTATCTATTATTATCTTAGACACCATAATTTATCCTTAATTTTTAAATGTTTTTATATGATGTATATAATATTTCTGAGCTATTGGACCAAATTATATATGGTCCAGGAATATCATTGCTGTGCACTAGCTTACCAAAATTATTGCAACATGTGTCTGCCTTATTATTTATGTATTATGTACACACACAAATATGCCAACATAAGCTTAAAAATAACTTGGTTCATACTTAAATATGTTGATAGGGTATAAGATAGTTTATGCATTGACAAAAAAACCATAAATAGTCCACCTCAAGAAAAAGGTTAGATTTTCCTTTGAACGGCGGATGGGTACTAGCTAAACACAAGCAGCCTTCCTTGGGACTTTGGGTGAGTTCCCATAGGAAAGGAAATAAAAACAGGAGCAACTCTAACATAAATTAAGAACTATGGCCAAGCAGGCATAACAACGGGACACACCGAGCTACACAATCACCACAAAACCTTCTTAACACCACTCCTTTGTCAGTTGGACACAATGCAACAAAGCACCACACAATCGAGACAAATGTGACAATCAGAAAGGTTCAAATAGGATCAAAGAAAATTTATATTAGAGATTTAGATGTCCTAAACCATACCTCGTAATCCACACAGAAAAGCTAGCCCAATGAGAGGACTCCATCCAGAACAAGTTGATTTATACGAATCCTCGTGTGACAGATACTACTTGGACCAAATAGTCGTATTTGATGGGCTTGAAGAAACCCTTATAATTTGAATCTAAGAGTAACTTACCCATCACAAAAAGAATGAAATTATGCATTAGTTTTACAAATATTCAACTATGATGTAATTATTGTATGTTATTATATCTTATTACTATTATTAATTGGAGAATTTTTCGGTGCTCCACTAGTACTCATGGAATGCACTAGAAAAAGAGAGAAATCATATAAATTCTCATAAAGAAATAATGACCATCACTTTTGTAAACGCAATCACAATAGCCATCGAAACTATGCACAATTGCCTAACATGCATGCAGACCAAAAAACTTTCCTTACAAATTGAAGTAAGTGGGATCAAATGAGTAAGCCAAAGTATGGACTAATGAAGTCATACAGATGGGCTCTACAACAAGATGCGATGCAAATAAGTAGAAACTACGAATGGAGATGGGAATGAAAATATAGTGTAACCAACAACTAATGTCTATCCCAATTGGATAAAGATAACAATTCATCAATAGGTATTGTGCAAGAAAATGAACAAATGAGAGGAAGCAAAGGTATTGGTTAGGAGTGGGCCCTAGATTTATCCACACACTTCTAATACTTTACATTCTTCTTGAAATATCTATGTTTCTAAGAATTCCTAGCCCATACATGGCACGTGTTGGACTAGCAATCTTAAGTGAGTTTGAAAGATACAACACCTTACACCAACAGGGATGTGTACTTTTGGGATTTGGAACGATATAAAATAATATGGTGTGCAACGTAAGAATTTTAATAACTTGTAGGAAAATCCACTATTCATATCCACAAAATGCCATAATATGACTAACGAGAAATAATTGGAAGGACTGGAGCTATTCAGTTTCTAAGTAGGGTCCTACCTCACCCCGGAACTCTATAAAAAAAATCTACCTCATTTCATGGAGTCCTAAGGCAGATTGATCAGTCCTGCCTTCTACAAGGCTATTCAAATTCAAATGGCACTGCAGTTCAACCGCACAGTTCTGACAAATAATGGTTCATATAGTTTTAGTAGCGCGTTAGTCAACTGATGGGAGCGGTGTATTATGATATCATCACCCAGTTTTTTTGGTTATGACTTATGACCCATTCCTGCTATCCAGTATCTACATGTGCTTATGATATGAGAGAATACAAGGTGATGATGGATCAACTAATCATGTTTCTCGGACAAAAAGAAAAGGAACCATTCCACTAGTAAAACCAATAAACACCATGATGAACATCCCACGCCTCAAACGAAACACCCCATTACTACATTATCTTCAATCAGCTCGTTCGGCTGGTACACAAAACTACTGTGTACCGGCTGGTTCCGGCTGATTTAATAGTGTTCTGTAAGAGAGAATAAGCTGAAACAAGCTGAAATAAAGCCGAGACAAGAAGAGCCGAACATCTTAAATAAATAAATTCAACGTAACTCGTCTCTGCATTCATGCTAAGTTGACAATGGCTGGCTGGCTAGCAGTACCCCCAGATGACTTACAGGATCCACCCTACCAATGTTTTGCACTGACAGAGAAGTCAAAGAACGATGAAGGAGGAGTGCCCGGGATTCTGCGACGAACTGGAGAAGATCGTCAGGAAGAAAGCAGGGGCGTAGCTAGCCGCAGCCCTCCACTGGTACACAGTGCTGGCGCATGCATTCAGCATTCCTCCGGATCGTCCTACGGCGTGCTACCCTATAAGCATGCAGCTAGCTAATAAGGTATTCTAGTTTATTTAGTCTGTAAATGATGGACTGTTTACGTGGGAAAATATGTAGCAGCAGTACTAAGGCACGCATGCATCCGCGTGCTGATGGTGTGCGTTCTGTTGACCCAGAAGAATATATATGGTAACTGCCAAAGTCACTGCAAAACACCAATGGACGCTTGTATGGCTTTCTGTTAACCAAAGTCACTGCAAAACACCAATGGATCCTTTGTTTTGGTTTTGGGCACGAGGGCACAATGTTTCTTTTTAACCTTCTTACTTAGTCCCCTAGGTGTCTGCTTTCTTTCTTTTACTCTTCCTGTTGTAATTTAGCTGTACTCTCCTTTTAATTAATCAATTTCAGTAGGGGCCAAAACCCCTCCTGTTTCCCTTAAAAAAAAGAAACATTGTGCAGAACTGCAGGGTAAGCAGAAGGCTGCAAGCGGGCTAGCCGGCTTGTGCATCCTTAGAAGGCCCGCGGATCCGGGTGGGATTCAGCCCGGCCACGTTCAAAGCTGCGGGAGCCGTGCGCGAGCGCGAGCGTTCGTTCACGGGCCGTGGAC